AGTCACGCGGCTATCTGGTTTCGTCCGTCGTCGTGCGATGTACATTAACATTAACATTTGAACATTTTCAGCTTTCTCTCTGGAAGTTGAACCGATTTTGGTACATAGCATCTATGGGTAAAGGGGAACAAAACTTTTCACCAAAATTAATGCATTTTTTAAAAAATCTTCTTTACTCCTGGACATATCAAGTAGTCAAACTTCTTGCATGATTGTAATAGCATTGAGTTCTATACTAAAATTGTGAAATTCATGACCAAACTTGTGAAATTCATGGCCCCAGGTTTAAGTATTCTAGTAATAGGGCAGGGCTGCATAGGTTATTTTATAGTGAAAGTTCGTTATTTCTTTGAAAATCTCTGCTTGGTATTAAACAAACAACTTTATAATGAGGAAGTTGTCATTTCATTTCCGGAATTTTTAGTAATTATCAACTTTTCATTTCCGACATTTTTTTTTTTTTTTTTTGGTTTTCATTTTCTACATTTTTCAGATACTGCCTTTAGTAACAGATTTGAAGACTTTACCAATGAAAGAATTAAAAGAATACAAATCATAAATCAATCATTGAAATCCAATTTCTGAGTTTTGTAAAATTAATGAAACGACTGTGAAAATGCATGGAAATACCTAAATTAAAGATCGAATGATTGACTCAATGTTAACTCTGCGCAGATGTAAAGCAGAAAAAATAAGTTTTGTGTAGAGTAGTATGATAAATGCGTTATCAACCGCAGTAAAAATTCGATTAGAGTACATCAAGTGTCTTGGACATAAGTGCTGTCACTGACATTTATTTTAGTGCACATTAAATGAGGTGAAAAGGTTGTATGTTCATTGAACTCTTTTACCTAGACATAGTGCTACATATATGCATATATGTATGATAAATGATGTTTTCGTATATTTTTTATCAATATTTTGCTATAGATACTTTAAAATTTCATTTTCACTCAATAGGTTTACATTAAATTACAGCACAGGTAAATTCCGGGAATGAAAACAAAATATTGTCGGAAATAAAATTGAAAAAAATGTCAGAAATGCTAAGCAGGTTTCCGGAAATGAAATGCAGCGGTTTTCAAAATTGTGAATTACATAGCCACGGGATATGGATATTTCTGTATTTTTATTAGTTCATTTGATTGTAAAGTGTTTAAGATCATTTTTCGTACCGAAGAGATTTCATTTTATTTCAAATATTTTTTTTTTTTAGAAAATATCAGAAAGGCGATTACCTCTAATTATAAAGAAGTTCTGGATGAAATGCAAATCGCATTAGCGAGAGAAACTTTGTCTACGTGCATTGGGGACGTTGATACTATTCAAAAGAAAATATTACCAAAGAATGGAAAACGAAGGCAGAGAATGTCCCAATTCCTTCAGTTTATTCTACAAGAAGATCACAATGTAATTCAATTCGAAAAAATGCTGGAAAATAATGGATTAGAAAACTTACTGAAAGTGAAAGAAAAAACACATAGAGAGCATATAAATACGAAAGGCATACATGTAGGTAAGTGAAAAAAGACTAACTAAATTACAGAATGATCATTTCACTTGAAAGTAATCGTAAAAAATATATTTTCAATGCAAAAGGGTTATTAATAAACAATTGTTATACCTTAAAAAATTTGTTCCCATACAAATGTATACGAAAAACAATCTAACATTCGTAATGTTTTACTGAGCGGGTATAAAAATATCGATGTTTGACCGCTGAGTGAGATGTTGGACCGGTCGATGAGATGTTGGACCGTTTTCGTTACACAATGGGTGGAGCTCTATCTGGTATTAAACAGTGACGTATTAGAGGTTTATATCACAGAAAACACTACAAGATAGATGTATGTAAAAAATATATATATATCAAAGTACTGAGAGTACTGATAGGCGGAAGCATGATTGCAAGTTCTCAGGTGACCAATTTGACTTCCCTAATATTTTTGTTGTATTTTTTTTTCTCTCGCCTACTATTCATCATGTATTTGCATGTATTTAAAAAAATGAAAAGAAAATACCCAAGTCAACAAAAATAAGAAATGTCAAAATATACTTTCAAAAATAGTATTCGGTTCATTTTTGCCATCATGACAGTACAAGAACATTAATTCTGTTATGCTATCAAAAATATGTATCAAAACTTATGAAAAAATTTTTCCACAAGAAATATAATAAATTGATGTTAACTCACCTTCAGAAAAGTTTTTCTGGTTGTGCAGAGTTGAGTTTGCTGCTATTTAGAGGTGACACAGAGCAAATTCACGATTCAATCTTAATTATATCCTACTCTCTGTTAGCTGCCTCCGTAGGGACACATCTATTCAGGCTAAAATACAATGTAGTTAATTCTCATGCTTGTGTCTTAATTTCTGTCCAAATTTTACAGTTTTGGCCCATCCTTCAACACACATGTATGTATTTACATTAAATGAGATAGGATATATAAATGCATACACAGACTCGGCATGATAATTCCTCAAATAATTTCTCCCAGGCATGTAATCATGGTAATTAAAGAGTACACTCTCCAGTTTGTTCATCTTCGATAAGACCCGACCATAACAGCTATCATATTACGATAGCTAAAGCATGCATGCCTGCATAGGGAGGCGACAAGTTAAAACAATAAAAGATAAGGGTGACAATAAAAGATAGGCTAATCACACATCGTGAGTTACCTTGCTTATTTTGAAAAGAGGGCCTGTCACTTCCATTCAACCATTGTAAATCATTTGTGCTCCACGTGGGTTTGTTGACAGTAATTTCACGCTGAATCGTCTTGTGTTAGATTATTACGCGAATGTAGTACTTATATATAAATTAACAATTGATAAAAGGAGTGACATACCTCTTTTCTTCTATTTTATACAAGATTATTGAAAAAATTAGTTCCTCAGTAGCTATGTACCTGTCATTAATTCTGAAATATAATTACCTACTTGAACTATTTTGTCCCTCGTAGTATTTCTAAAGATCGCGTCAGGATCCCGTGCTAATCAAATGTTGAACCCGATTTGTTTAACGTAATGTGTTCTCTCAAATGTGAAACGTATCAGGAGTACTAAAATAACTGTTCGTTCTATTATTAGGCTATTATTTTTATTGGACTTTTTTACATTAATCAAAATAAAGTTTTCAAGTAAATTACGCTTAACACACGCTTTTTGATATGATAATAACGATAAAGATTGGGAAAGGGGTCGAATATGATTTAGCGGGTTGTGTGCCCTTAGTTTAAGATACATCCGTTTGGAGTACCATGAAACGGGGCAAACATCTTGAGAGGTCGAAAGGTCAACAATGAAAATGCAAAAGGCGGCTTCCGCCTAAAAATTAAAAGGTGTAACAAAACATTTATTGTGTTTATACTGTGTTCTCGGGCAAAATGCGTTTTGTCGACCCTTGAACAGAACTGTCTTCCTTCGGCTTAACGGCCTCAGGCGGACAGTTTGGTTCTTGGGACCGACAAAACGTATGTTCCCCTAGAACTCGGTTAACAAATGTATGATACAGTCTGGGTTGAGGGCAACATTAATTTTGTTAGCCCCTGGGGGATGAAATATTGATCGGCGTAAGGGGGCTACATAATCAATGTTGCAAGAAAACACAGTCAATAACTGTTTAGATACATTAAATACGATACAGAATTAAAGTTTCATATTCTTTTTTGTGAAGAAGAATGTCAAAACAAGACACAAAAATACCGAAAATGGTCAGTATTTTTTAAAGATTACAATTAACATGATTAACGTCTATTCAATCCTAATTGTACGTTTTGTTTCTGGTTATAGAGGTGAAAATTGCCGAGGATGCAGCTCGCTTATCAGGGGACGTTCTGTTTGAGTCCCTCCTAACACTTTTCCCCACTGGTAAGTCCTAACACTGGTCCTCTAAGTGACCTGTAAAATTAAACTCAAAGTATGTTCGATGTCTGTAAGTCTTTAAATAATAATAAAATATGATATTCAGATGATATTCAGATATCAATTACATATAAATTAAGATATTCTATCCACATGTTGTAAACACGATGCGCCAAAACGTCAAAACACGTGAAAAAAATCTGCGTCGAAGTTCACCGTCAGTCAGCAACGTCACATCTTTATGACGTGATTTCTGTTTAAGTACACATACCATAAGGCACTTTTGTCATGGGTCCAATCATATGTTGTACAAACATACAACCTGACATGGCGTCAGAAGGTGTCTACGCTCGGGTTCAGGTGGACAGGTGTACCGATTGTAAAAAACCGCCCGTGTGTACATACTCGACATGTGACACAAAAATATGTAGAAAACATATAGATATCCATATCGATATGGTTCACAAGTTATCAGAGAACGATAATAAAAAATGTTCTCAACATGTGAGAAACCCATTACAATATTTCTGTAGAAGTTGTCGTCTGCCTCTATGTGATAAATGTGTTAAATTGACGGAGAAAATGCTGCCCAATGAAAAAAGTTAAAAACTCTCTTGGAATTTCTTACGGAAGCAATATCAAGTGAAAAAATGGAATTGACAAAGTGCATAAAACCATTTTAGCAAAAGATTTTGGACAACATAGAAAAACAATTAAGAGAATTAACTTCTGTCTATGACAAGATGAAAAAGGATATCAAAATTTTTGCATGGGGAAATTGATGTTGAATTGACATTTTGCATACCGTCTAGGACGACAAAAAAATGAAAGATAAAGAAGACTTACTAAATCAAAAGGAAGCTTATTGAGAAAAAATGACGACATTAGCTCACACTATTTCGCAAAATGAAAAGTTAATTGGCTTTTAAAATGTAAAAGAAGTGGTGGATTTTAGATCTAGCACTGAGAGCTTTTATTCGAATCCTTGCCAAGTGAAGCTGCAGTAACCCTCTTTCCCATCAAATCTGAATGATCCAGAAATTCAAAAAAAAAAGCTTTGGCACTTTTTGGAGAGGTTCACTATACTTCTGATGAAAGTGGTACTCCTGATTTAGAATTGGACAAGGGATTAAAATGCAACTACTGGATCAGCCAGGTGTTTTAAAAGTCAACATAGTGCAGGAATCCAATATAGCAATGGCCAGCTTTTATGAGCCGTGTTTATCTGTTGCAACCAAAACGGTGACATTTGCACAGCTGACTATAAAAGAAAGAAGTTATTGTTGTGAGTCAATTTGGTGCCTTTCTGTATTCTTATAATGAAAGCACGACAACAACATACATTTATACATTTACTCCGTGTAATATGGTTACAGATCACCTGTGCAATTACCGATTTCGAAAATAACAATATCCATCTTTTGGACAGACAAGGACAACTTCTTCGATATCTTATCCCAGATACGGGGGTCAGCCGTCCTAAAGCCATTGCTATTGACAGTGGCGGTAAAATGTGGATTGGAGAAGAGAAGAGCGGAATCATTAAAGTCCTGCAGTATTTTAAATAACGTATATCAAGTATACTAAACTGAATGACTATATGTAGCATTTTTTTAGTCGTTCCTTAACAAACTGGGATATTTTTTTTATATATACGATTTAAATGTTTGATACATTTTAATAAAGAGGAAACTCCGACATTTTATTTCATAATTGGAATAAATGATGTCTCAGATTGCTGTAATATTTCACAATCTAACGATGTTATTGTACAGTTTTTTATGTGTTTGTGTATGTAAGATATCTCCTGATTGCAACTTCTTAATAAAAAAATTTTCCACTGTGTATTAAGTATGAGACTTATGTGCCACCTTTCTTGCAAGATCTTTTAATTGATTTGACATTATTTCAAAATTTGTGAAGTAGAGTTCCAGTCATAGAGCTTTAAATTTCGTTAAATAAACCTGGTCATTCGCCATGTTATTTTCATATCAACATTTTAATTGTACATGTACACACAGCTGAGACAAGTTGATATTGAATAAAATGCTTTAACTTCTGTACCTTTTGGAGATCAAGTCTTAAAGCTTCCATCTATCTTTCTGAATGCCCAAGGGTACCAACTAATATTAGTATTTATATGAAGCAGAATTCATTCAAAACTTCTACATTGAAGGAGGAATATTTACTGTGACCCCCAATTACACTTAAATACTTGTATATATTCGGCGTTTTATCTATAAAGAGTATTCATATGTTTACTCACATTAATTCGATAAATCCATTTAAGCTAAAACAAAATGAGTATGGAACTTCTGTTTCATTGGATATTGTCCTATAGAAGGCGTTGATAATAACCTTTTAAAAAACTTACGGATGAACGTGATGACTTCCACTATTCCATAGTACTCCCTTTGTTTGGTAATAAACCATTATTACCAGTTTGTGGAGTTTACGTCTCCACAATAATAAGATGATTAGGTATGAACTGGCATGATCTGCGTATTGACTTCTGAAACAAAGCAATTTACTGACAAATAAGTTGATGTATCAATATTCTTGGTTAAAATCAACATTTCGCAAATTTTATGGTTCATATAATGAACTCGTCAGAAAGTACAATTTATCATTATGTCAAATGCTGACTAACATTTCTCTTACAAATTGTTAGGCCCGCCTAGGCCATTATTTTTATACTGAATTATCTATGGATTTTCCCGTTAACCCGATCTTGACAAGGAGCACACAACAGGTATGGCCAGTCGATGGCGAATGCTTACGCCTCAATGGCACATGATCCAACCTGTGATTTTTTTTTATTGAAGTCCGAATTTGCTCTGCTCTTGATTTGTACATATTTATTAATCCACATTAAAGTATAGTTATTAAATATAGATTTCTATGTCTAAAAATAGTGTCTAAGTTGCTACCAAATATCTCATTGATATCTCCATCACAAAAAGGTACGCCGAAACGTGATGCTATAAATGTCAGGAATGCGACAGCATTTTGTGACCTTCTGAAAATTTAATATTTTTTAAATATACCAAAATATATCTATAAATTACAGGGCGTGTCTATGTTTAAGATCTATATTTCTATCGTCAGAGGTTCAATTCATGTTCTTTTTAAAGATTCATGTTATATGATGAAAATACTTCTATTCATGCGAAGATGTATTCATTACCTAAAATGACCTATTTGTATAATTTAGTATTAAATTATTGACATTTTTATTATTAAAATCCTTTCTTATTCTTATTTTATGAATTCAGATGTTTTTTTTAATTTTTATTTATTTGGTGATTTTTACGAACGTTGAAAAACACACAAAAATTATCATAGAATTCAAGTAATCTTATCTCATAGAGTAGAATGTTTTTGTGAGTTATAATTTTTAAAACAATGTTCAATAAAATACGAGATATATCAGATGTCAACACAAGAATGTAAAATGGGGTCGCTTCAATTTAAACTTGTATGAAAACTTTTTATTAGGTTTATATTTGAATTGACTTAAATAATCCAAAAAATTAATTTAGGGGAAATTTATTGCTTCCTATATTTTTCATTCTAAAACTTTTTCAGACCAGAATTGAACAAAAAGGGTAAAATAACAACTTTTTTCCAATTAGGTATTCTATTGTCAATTTGTAATTTTTTAAAACTATGATGCATATGCAATATGATAAGACCACGAAACGTTAACTAGCAAGATTGGAAATATACACCTTACTTCATTTCTATTTGTTAAAATCAAAACTTTTAATGAAAGACAAAGAAATGAGCGGGTACAATTCGACGGGGACAGCCTGGAACACATTGGATTGAAATTCTAGTTTGAAATTCATTTTCAATCCACCTGAGCTGTTTTCAAAAGCAAAGTGTGAATGTATGTTCCAAAAGACAAATACTTATAATTCCCCAAAATCATACATTTTCCCCTTCATATATTTCTTTAAAACGCTGGACAGAAAATCCTGATTTATATATCATTTTCAAACTATACCATTATTGACATTATTTGTCTTCTGGGTCAAATAAGTTATATTGTGTTTTCTAGCGCAGCTGAGGTGGATTGAAAATGAATTTCAAATTAGAATTCCAATCCAATGTTTTCTCGGCCGTCCGCATCGAATAGTACCCGCCCATTTCATTGTCTATCATTAAATGTATTGATTGTAAAAAATATTAGGGTAAAATATGCAATGAGTATTTTTTTTTTAAATCCAGTTTGGTGGGGTTTTTTTTATTCGCCCATTATTTCGATTGGCTTTTGAGCAGGATAAGTGTTCGTTATCTTTAAATTCATTTGCGCCATTTTAATCCAACAAAATCATTTTTAAATATATTCAAGTAACAGCTTTTTAAAAAAGCTTGCCTGACTATTTCAATAAATATCGGCATTAGGAGTGATATACCTTTTGAGCAATACTTTTGTGGGTTTAAAATATGTCCTTACTTTTTATTTTGAGAACCTTGAGTAAATGAAACTAACTTGTAGAAGAAGCATCTCTATATTACATAGTAAACAGTTGTATTTCTGTGGCGGGTTTTCTGCAAATAGGAGTTGCCCTTGGTTCTAGCACTGGGGTGCGCTCAAATGGACAACAGATTGAATTTTGCGCGGAATGACGTCATCAAACTTTGGAAAATCAGAAGACAGTATTTGAATTTTGGTCACGTGACCCTATCCTGGAAGGCGGGAAAACCCCGACTTTTAAATCACACATGTTTAGCCCTGAAGTCAAGTGCAAAATTAAAAAGTTACCCGAAGGGTATCATGTAACATATCCATTTGATGGTCTCGACGAGAAGTCAGCCCGGAGGTGGTCCAAGGTCATTGAGTACAAAATTAAAAACGTTGCCGGAGGGGTATCGTGTGACCTATCAAACGGAAGGTGTCGACGAGTAAAGTTTAGCCCTGGGGCATTCCGGGGTCATTGAGTGCAAATAAAAAAAGTAACCTGAAGAGTTGAGTGTGACATATCAAATGAAAGGTCTCGACCAGTAGAGTTTAGCCCGGGTGTGTTCCGGGGTCATTGAGTGCAAAATCAAAAAGTTACCTAAAGTTATCTTGAGTTATATCAAATGAAAGATCTTGACGAGGAGAGTTTAGCCCGGGGGTGTTCCGGGATCATCAAGTGCAAATTCAAAAAAGTTACCCAAAGAGTATCGTGTGACCTATCAAATGGAAGGTGTCGACGAGTAAAGTTCAGCCCGGGGATGTTCCGGGGTCAATGAATCAAAATCCAAAAGTTACATGAAGTGTTGAGTGTAATATGTTAAATAAAAGGTCTCGACGAGTAAAGGTAAGCCTGGGGTTGATCAAAATAACACATTGTTTTTGTCCATATTTTATTGCAAGACATGAAAAGTAACATTTTCTACATGAATCTGTATACATTTAATTTCAATGTAAACGATGATAATTGCACAAAATTATGCAGACATATCATCAGCATTTATCCAAGAATTATACTTCTCTGGCCAATACAGCCATTTGACAAAATATTGCTTGTTTGGTCCTCTTCCACGGGTCTTGAGGATCTTTTCAATCTCAAACGTATCCTCGTCTCTAACGTCCACTTTTTGGAGTTCCGTTCGATAGAATGTCCCCGTAATGGCATCGTCATTGTAGTCCTTGAGTTTGTACACTTGAATACCGTTCCTCAGAAAACGTCGAAACACGATAAAAATTTCACTAGACCACTTTTGATCGTGTTCAATGTCAAAAATGGATGATATTTTTAGGTCACCTGACTCACTCAGATGACCTATTGCTATCCGTATTCGTCCGTCGTCGTTCGTCGTGTGTAATGCGTCGTGAGTCGTGTGTTAACATTTAAACATTTTCAGCTTCTTCTCTGAAACCACTGAACCGATATCAACCAAATTTGGTATACAGCATTAATGGGTGAAGGGAAATGAAATTTGTAAATTTTATGGTCCCTGCCCTCCTGGGTCCTGAGGGGTGGGGCCAAAACCACAAAAATTGATGCAATCTTTAAAAATCTTCTTCTTTACTCCTGGACATCAAGCAGTCAAACTGTTGGTATGAATGTAATGAGCATTGAGTCCTCTACCAAAATTTATGGGGTAATTCATGGGGTTCTAGTGCTAGGGCGGGGCTATTATAGATTATATAGTGAAAATGCATTATTTCTTTGAAAACCTTCTTCGTTGCTCCTGGGTATTAAATAAATTAGATAAATACATGGTTATGATGAGCAAGAGTGCCTCTTCCAAAATTGTGAATTTTAATGGCCCAGGGGTCAGGGGTTTTGGTGGTAGGGCGGGGCTCTATTGATGATATAATGTATAAAAAATTAATTCTCTAAAAATCTTCTTCTTTGCTCCTGGGTATTAAATAAATTAACAAAGTACATAGTTATGACAAGTAAGAGTGCCTCTTTCAAAATTATGAATTTTATGGCCCCAGGGTCAGGGGTACTGGTGTTAGGACGGGGCTCTATTGATTATATAGTGAAAATCCATTAATTCTTTTAGAATCTTTTTCTCTGTTCCTGGGTATTAAGTAAATTAACAAAGTATATAGTTATGAAGAGCAACAGTGCTTCTTCCAAATTGTGAATTTTATGGCCCCAGGGTCAGGGGTTCTGGTGTAAGGACGGGGCTCTATTGATTATATAGTGAAAAAATTAATTCTCTGAAAATCTTCTTCTCTGCTCCTGTGTATTAAATAAACTAACAAACTACATAGTTATGATGAGCAAGAGTGCTTCATCTAAATTGTATGTTTAGTAAACTAAGTACATAGTTAAGAGGAGCAAGAGTGCCACTGTCAAAATTGTGAATTTTATGGCCCCAGGGTCAGGGATTCTGGTGTTAGGACGGGCCTATATTGATTATAAAGTGAAAATGCACCAATTCTTCCGAAATCTTCTGCTCCTGGGTATTAAATAAACTAACTAAGTACATAGTTATGATGAGTAAGAGTGCCTCTTTCAAAATTGTGAATTTTATGGTCCCAGTGTCAGGGGTTCTGGTGTTAGAGAGGGGCTTTATTGATTATATAGTGAACATGCATTAATTCTTTGAAAATCTTCTCTGCTCCTTGGTATTAAATTATCTAACTTAGTATATAATTTTAGTGAACAACCAAATTTGTGAATTTCATGGTCCCTTTGTAAGGGGTTGCGCCATTTAGTGTGAGGAGGGGGGGGGGGGCTTTTGATTATATAGTGAAAATACATTAATTCTTTGAATATATTTTCCTCAGCTCCAGGGTATTATGCCAATGATCTAAGTATATATATTTTTATAATGAAAAAAAGGTGCATCTAGCAAAATTTTTAATTTAATGCCCCCTGGCTCAGGAGGAGGGGGGGGGGTACATGGTCTGAAAATAAATTAATGCTTTGAAATCTGCTCTTTGGTATTATTCAACAATTTATGATGAAATAAAATTCATGATAAAATTTCCAATATTTGAAATATGTGGCCCCGGGGTCAGTGGTTCCTTTGGGATTGGTTGCATAACTGGTTTAAAGAGGAAGTGTACTTTTTCTTTGTTACTCTGATCTACCTCTGGGTATTTAGTAGCTAGAGTAAGAATGTTAAGTGTATAATTATTATACCCCCGCTTGAAAAGCGGGAGAGTATATAGTAATCGTTAATTCCGTCCGTCTGTACGTCTGTCCGTCTGTTACGCTTTAGGGTTCCCATCTCTTATTCACTAACTCCTCTTATACCACTGAGTGAAATTTAATGAAACTTTCACAGAATCTTTATTACATATTGCCATTGTGCACCTCCTATTTTACTTTTTGATCTGACACATATTTTTGGTGTCCCGGCCAAGGCAATACATGGACTTTGTCATCAGTTATAACGATATGGGAGGCGGGGGGTATTATTTAGTGAGCTCATTGCTCACAGTACCTCTAGTTACAATGGTGGTCTTTAAAAATTGTGAATTTCATGGCCTCTGGTTTAAAACAGGACCAAATTTAGTTGTTCGAAAGTTGTTACATGATACTAATGTGATCTATAAGGCCCGTGGGTCTCTTGTCGAAATTCGCACTTTATCACCCACTTTGAACTTGTAGGTACGCGCACTTCTTCTTCGTTGTATGATCTTACCAGTTCAGGTTCAGTGTCAATGGAGAAATACCGGGGTAAATCGACAAACGGCCCACTTTTCTGTGTGCAATAAATATACAATTTCTTCAATGGATGGCGCTGTAGCTCTCTGGTGTATCTTTTTTTTGGGAGAGCTACAGTTCTGCAGCTATTTTAGAAAGGGATGCTGATAAATTATTAATCTAGATTTAAACACCAAGCTACATTTCAAATTACCGATTATCATGATCAGTAAAGATTTCATACCGTATAAGTGGAAATTTTAGCGAGACGCAAATAAATTGGTATTTCATTTTTAGCGAGATGTAATTTTAGCGATTTCAAAATGCTCACTAATTAAGCAATTGCAAATGAAACGCAATTAATTTTTTAGCAATATTCAATTTAGCCAAAATTAAATTCTCGCTAAAAATTCTGCTAATACGGTATCTAGATAACATTTTCACGGACTTTCTTATTCATTCAGATTCATCCCGTCATCTGCTGAAGGTATGTACAAATTAGTAAAGTTCTTTTAGAGTCAACTTTACTTAAAATGTTTGATAATTGAAACAATATACATATGTATAATTATTTTCTTCAAATTCTTATACAGGACATTTATCACAATATGAGCAGGAATATAGGACTAGGGGCTCAGGCTGCCATGAACACTTGCGCCGACTGCAGTGAACCTTCTGTGTGTACATGTTCTTTATGTAACACCAAAATATGCAGACATCATTTGATTACCCACATGGACACAGTTCACTTCCTAGCTGATAATGATTCAGACAAAACAAAATGTTCTGTTCATTCCAAATATTTCCTGAAAACTTTCTGTAGAACTTGTCGTCTGCCACTTTGTGATGTCTGTGTGACAGATGGTGGCCATGTTTTTCACGAAAAAATTGACCTCGATGCTATCTTGGAATTTTTCAATGAAGTGATTTCCGATGAAAATCAAGAGTTAATAAGTTACATAAGGCCCTTTTATCAGAAGATACTTGACATCACAAACGAAAGGAAAAAAGGAGTTCCGTCTAACTATAAAAATGTGAAACATGAAATCAAACAGTTCGCTGAATCCTTACACAAAGAAATTGAGAGTGTAGTTCAGATATTGTATGCTGAAATGGATGAGAAAGAAAAGACTGAAACGAAACAATTGCAGGAACAGGATGATATTTATTCATTGAGAATAAGCAAAGTGGATGAAACTGTTTTACAAAACAGGCAATTAATGAGTTCCAACAATCCAATCGAATTAACGAAATTTAGCTCCAGTCTGGCTTATTTCCACGTAAATCCGAGTCAAGTTAAAGAAGAGTTGCCTAAGTTCTCTCCTATAACAAACAAAGAAGAAATTAAAGAAAAGTTATTTGGACTTTTTGGAGAGTTTTGTTCGATGTGACCGACAAACATGTGTCTGATTTAAAAGTGGAGAACGACGTCAATGCAGCAAAAGTGCAGCTTTTGGAGCAGCCAGGAGTTTTAGATATTCTCGAAAACGAATTTCCTCCTGATGCAAATAAAAATAAGTTGATTAATTTGTGTTGCATAGATTCCAAGAAAAGTTTGGTCGGCGGAAATGATTGTTTTCTTCACGTAATAGAGCTATATGACGAAGACAAAAGAGATCCAAAAAATTCAGTTAAAATGCGAAGGGGTTTATTTTGATCTCTCGTCAAAAGACGTGCTCTTTTATACAAGTAAAATGGACAAGACCGTGAAAAGACTAAAATCCCTTCATTCCTCAGGAAAAAATAATTTGTGACATGCAAAGCACATCCATGTTAGATGTGACATGCAGATCACATCCTTGCCATACAACTTCTGTTACATTAACCAATCAAACAAGGCGTGAATCTAAGAATTTTCACAATTTACCAAAATTAATCCTACCGGAAACCTCCAAATTAGTTGTCGAATTCAATACATAAAAACAATTATTATTCTAAAAAAAATTGTGCTGATTGTAAATACGGAAGATTAAGAAAAATTTAATTAATGAATACCTGTAAAATCTCATCTTTTAGGGGTTTGTGAGAAAAAAAGAAAATACGTGGTAAATTTATTATTTGTAAATGAGAAGCGTGAGTTTACAGTTTACAATTTCACCATGTGTTGCAGGACAATTTGTTCTTCAATATATTTTCACTTTTTCCAGCATCGATAGACATCATTTAAGCTTAACTTCTGGTCAAAATCTCAAAATATTCAAAAATTGTCGAGCTCCTTTAGATGGACGTGCAGAAGACATGAAACCAACATAAATTGAGTTTCCGGATGTGAATAACAATGCATAAAATAGCTCATATATAACTTGTATAAGTTCGTAAGAAAAAAAATTTTTAGTAAATATTGTTTTGGATACATTAATTACATATGACAAAACGATGTCTATTTTGATAGAACATCGGCATTATCACAAAATATGACAAAAGTAAATGATATCAGCATCCTCATCCTCGCAAGCCAGGGGTCCTGCCTGTTGACTCAGGACCTTCTATGGCTTGTGAGGATGAAGATGCTGCTATAATCTTATATACACGAATTTATTTACTTCGTTTCATTTTAATTTACTTTTATTTTTACTTCGTTTGATCACATTGAAAATTAAATTAAGATATGAGCCATGCATGGTACATGTATTTCTTTTGGAATATTTCCTATTTATTCGTTGTGAAAATTCTTTATGAATTCTAAAATCATTTAATTTTTGCGGCCGTTTTGACGCTTAATTAGCATCAATTTAAATTTGTAAATTTTGTATCACTTTAAAAGGGATCATTTTTCAATGGGGGTCAATTTTAAAAGGACTCGCATTTAAAATAATGACCCCTAGGGCTCTTTTTCTACAAAATAATTTTTCCACAGCGGGGGTCATTTTTGTCGTTGAAAAATGACCCTCCGCCAGTCATTATTCGATGGGGGTCATTATATACGCATATAATATAATTGTAAACCCAATAGCTGGATAATGTGACTGATACTTTATGGACTACTTGCCGATGAAGACCAGTTTTGGTGAGCACCAATTACCACTGGTCTACGACCAACGGCCGAGGAATGTGAATTCGGTATATATTAATAGGTTTAATATTCATATGTCGGAATATCATCACCCAATCATCGATTTTCGAGCTACAGATTGATTTCAATTAACCAGACCAAAAATTTGGAAACCCCTTTTTATTAAACGACTGACGACCGACTTTATAAACTGACCGCCGATGATTGGACGATAATCGAAGGTTTGTCGACGGATTGCTTCAATTGAAGAAATCGACAACCGACCAGAAAAATTATAACTTGGACCGATAGACAAAAGAATTAGTCGACCGACGAAAAAAAAGAGGTCAAAATTGGGCAAGAAAACGGTCGATGAACTGCTGAACGTCACCCGAAGAATCACATTTTTGCTTCAAATCCGTTGGCCGTTAGTCGTTTTTGGTAATGTGACTATATTTATAATGTCCTAATCAATACATTCTACCTAGTCTACACAACTTTTAACATCATTCAAAATATACATGTATTTATATCATTGAATAACTTTCCTCTTTTATTTCCAAGAAAACTTTTCTCATTATTTTTTTCCTTAATATTTTAACAGTCCTATTTAAAACATGCCGAATACTTGTTAACCATTGAAAAAAACAGGGCACCCCACTTTTCTGTCAATTAGCTATACTCAGTCAAATATTCAAATGTGAAAAAAAATGGAAGACGGTTATAATGGGAAATTCTTTAAAATCTATAAGTAATAGTTGCCATTTTACGATTTTCAATATGTGTTTAAAATATAAAAATATGCATATACATACGTAAATCTAAAGCTATTTTATTGCATTTTTAATTGCGTGTTCGTCTATTGTTGGTCAAAGAGAACATAAAGAAGAATAAGACAATGAGGTTCAAACACTCTGTTAGAAAGGGGTCATTTTTCAACTGGTCTCAATGTTTTAGGACGATAAAATGATCCCTAGGCCTACAATTTTTTTTCAAGGATGGAGGGGGGGGGTCATTTTTTTCCTTGAAAAATGACCACGGTCATTATTCTATGGGGGTCATTATTTGTTTTAACACAGGCATTGGGAGAGTCCCATTCAAGGTCCAATGCAAGCATTGAAACTCTCTTCAACTTCCAATGCAGGCATTGAATTCCCATTCAAGGACCAATATAGGCATTGGGAGACTCCCATTCAAAGACCAATGTAAGCACTGAACTCTCATTCAAGTACCAATGTAGACATTGAAACTCTCATTCAAGTAGCAAATGAGGCATTGAAACTCTCATTCAAGGTCCAATGCAGGCATTGAATTCCAAGTCAAGGACCAATGTAGGCATTGGGAGACTATCATTCAAGGTCCAATGCAGGCATTGAATTCTCATTCAAGGACAAAAGCATTGTAACTCTAATTCAAGGACCAATATAATCATTGGGAGACTCATTCAAGGTCCAGTGTAGGCATTGAACTCCCATTCAAGGACCAATGTAGGCATTAGGAGATTAAGGACCAATGCAAGGGTAGATAAGTGTGAATCCTCTGTATTTGGAAAACAGAACAAATAACATGAAATATATTTTTAACAGTATAAAATTATTTTTACAAAATTGAGAGACTTCGTAGTAAATGTACACATTAAGAGGTCCCGACCCTCTGCTATCAAATTTCACTCAGAAAATTTAATATTTCTAATGTTGATTTTCATGAACAACAATAACATAAGAGTCACATGGAAAATAGTTTGATGTAAGAAGCGCAGCTTATTTTTTCAGAAATGATTTTTATATCAGATCATGATATGAAGAAATTTCACCATAGAGAACAGAACCAGTAACGATTTATTATCATAACATTTAATTTGAAATATGAGGTGTATATGAAAATAAATTTTAGTATAATACCTATTAAAATCATGTCAGAAAACATCAGGAAGCGATGCTTCCTAAGTCAGAAAATTACAATGTTGTATGTGGTTGTAATAAAAAAAAACACATCTGTGAGGAAGAGTTATCTTTCTTCTAAAGATTTCTTCATATGAAAAAAAAAATGTCATACTTATAAAAATTCTGTATTAAGTACTTGAAACATTAAACCATTATTAAAATGGTCTTTTAAAAATACAACTTATTCAATTTAAAGTGCTTTTGAAGTAGGATTTAAATGTTTTATTGTTAAATATAATAAAACAATTAGTAAGAGATTGGCAAAAGAAATAGAAAGTAATGTTTCCAGCACAGGTTAGATTTCATCTAATTGACTACTCAGAGGTCTAAATTAGGAAACTCTGATTAAGAAAACTGTGAGTAGTATTTATATTTTGTACTCTGACTGTCTCTGATAGTTATCTGTCAAATCAGAGGGTCGGTACCCCTTAAGATACGAAATCAACAAAAGCGATCAAAAAAGATCCAAAACATAGCGTTAAGTGAAGTCATCCTTTAATTTGCCAGAAGAGAAATCACATTTCAGTTTAGAACCCACTGCGCTTTTATTATCAAAAACGGTGATAAGTATCGACAATGGGCTGGACATAAATATGTCCCTGCATAGCAGGTGGGTTCGAATCCTGGAGACCAGTCCTTCCGTATGATACCATACAAACCAAGGTCCTGTGTCACAGGTGTTGGCACACTCACTGCTCAATGACCCTAGAGTCAAATACAAGGCTAAATGTGAAGCTCTTCACCGCAAATATGAGTAAAAAGGAAAATCAAATAGAAAGACGTAAAGGGTGGGTTAATATCCCTGATTTGAATTGTTTCAATTGACATTTAAGTATAATTAATCGTTATCTTTAAATTTATATTTCATTTCATTTTGTGTAATTGAACAAGAAATGTTTTGAAACGTGCAGCAGTATGAAAAAAAGGAATTTGAAATCTCTCCTTTGAAAGAAAAAGGAAAATGGTTATCTGTAGTGAGTGGCACCATCTCTCCCACCACCTGGTGTGAGCGCACCTCAACCACCACCACCTCCCCCTGGTGGTATCCCACCTCCTCCTGCACCACCTGGTATTGGAGGAGCACCTCCACCACCACCTCCTCCTGGTGGCATACCTTTACCACCTGGTGCTCCTCCAACATTAGGTGGTGCCATAAAAGTTGCTGAGTCTCTACCACCACCTATAAGTACACCGGAGTCACATTGTAAACTCAAACACATCATGTGGAATATGTTACCAAACGCTGCATTCAAAAGTAAGTTCAAAGGATTAATAAGAGTTCTATCTGAAATTAAATACATTGACATTGAATTAACACATATTTCTTCTATATGAAAAAACATCATTACAGACATAACATTACATTTAAAAATATATAATTATGCTCACCGAAAGTTATTAAATCATGATGATTATTTTGGTGTCCGACAGAGGAAAGTATTTGGGGTAACGTGCT